AACACATGATGAAGATGATGGAGAACATGGAAAGCGGTGGAAAATTGTTGAGAATGATTGGAAACTGTGGAAATGATTGAAAGCGATGAAAATGATGAGAAAGTCATGAAAAGGGGGAAAATGAAGGAAAGTGATGGAAAATGATGGACGACTATGGAAACAAATGATGAGACAGGATTGTAAATATTGGAAAAGCAAGAAAACCATGCAAAACGACGAAGAAATAATGAAAGCGTGAAAATGCTTGAAAATGACGAAAAACAGAAAAATCCTAGAAGTCATGAAGCATGATAAAAAAATGAGGAAAATTAAGGAAAGCGATGAAAATAAAGACGCAGAAGCCCATTGGATGCATGGAAGGAAAGAACATACTGGCTGGGTCAGGGAGTTCCGGCGATGGCGCGGCGGTGCACTGCGTCCCGTGGCCTGGCTTGGCTTGAATGCAATGAGTCGCGTCTTTTTCATGTGCTGCTTGCTGCGTTGAATGTCATCACGTTGTCTGACATTCATGGCGATCCACGAAAAATTTTGGCCGCTGCTTTACTGGGAAACCAGGAAAAAGAAGCCCAAAACTGCCCAAAACCCCAAAAACCAGGCATCCAAGAACCCAAAAAGCTAAGAAGCCAGTAAGCCAAGAAGCCGGAAAGCCAAGAAGCCGAGAAGCCAAAAAGCCGGGCATCCAGGAGGCCAAAAGGCCAAGATGCCAGGAAGCCAAGAAGCCGGAAAGCCAGCGTGTACGTGGGCAACAGCAGGGAAAACGATTTGTTGCACTGCCACCGACAAGTCGGACCACCACCTTCTCGACCACGCTGCTCTGGTTGCCATGCGATGCCACGCGGGTGGTGGTTAACGCCCCGCCTTGACAAGAACCAGGCCACGCATGAGACGTAGCGTTCCTTCGTTCCAACCTCCGACCTCAACGCCCAGAACCACAACCGCTTTGAGTCCCATGCTGAGCTCCGTGTGTGCACTGTGCTTGTGTCAAGCGGCTGCCCAATAATTCAATAAGTGTCAGCGAGGTGACCAACCCAGCGTCACAACAAAACGTCTTGTTCAGTGGCGCCTGTCGGCTGGGCCACCTGCCCATGCAGGCCTAATGGTTCTCCTCTAGCCACCAGCACCCATGCCCGCCTGCGCGCCAAAAAACTGGTTCTGGGGTGTTCTGGGCATGCTTAGGGCATGGTTTTCAAAGGCGTCCACTTGAGCGCTGCATCCCGGCGAGGGCCCGCAGCGTTGCGAGATGCGGGAACGTAGGCATCAGCAAAATGCCAGCTGCATGGCATGTGGCTCCAAGGTGGTGGCGGGGTCAATGGGCACCGCTGTCAGCCAAGCCCTTGCAGGTGGCCGACCCTGCAAGTGCTCAAGCGCGCAGGCGCTTGGCAACAAAATCGACAGAAACACGCGGTCGTGCACATGCAGGTTGCGTGCGGCCATCACCCAAACCCGTGTCCCGCATGTTGCCGCATGTTGGCGTTTGCTGCCCATGTGTCTATACACGCGGCTTTGGCCCGACTTGACCATCCACCTTTCTATGCTGAGCGGCCAAAACATTTTTTGGGGGTTCAGCACTGGTACTGTTTCCGGCGCAAAATCCGAAACCATCCATTTTTTTGTGTTTCGAGGCTTTTTTAGTCTGGTCCATTTTCTGATTCCCCGCGCCATCTCCTGGTTGGGCGGGGGCACGGTAAGGCATTTTTTTCCTATTCCCTATTTGTAGAAAAAAACGGACGCGGACGGGATCATTTTCAAAATCTTGGCCTTGGTACTAAAACGCAGTATTTTTGGCCTCTCGAGGAGGAACTGTCGTGACTTCGGTCAAGCACACGGCTCATAGCTCGACCAGGCCTTCCACTTGGCCGAGCCATCGGGACCCAACCCGGCTGCCGCAGTGACACAACTACGTGATCATTCGCAGCTGAATAGGGGACATGTGGCGGATGCTACAAAATGCATCAGCTGATGCAAAGAGGAAATACATCAGAAAACATATTGCACCGGATAGATAGCAAAGCAAGGCAAGGTTCAAACTAGAATCAGTACGTAACAGTGTGCTTATGTGCAACGGCAAGGTTGGATACCAAAGGCAACAATGACGGGGGCCGCAAGATACTTGCACCTGAAAGAACAGAACAACTCAGAAAAATTATGCGGACTCTGCAAAACTCCAATGTTTTGCACTCCACGCACACATACCAACGGACTTTGCGCTTTGCACCGGCACGACTCCAGTCTTCAAGGTGCTGCCCCTTCAGGATCCACACGATAGGCGCTACAGGCCGGCAGACGGCTGGCATGTACATACCCCCTTTCCCGTGCCGACGCTAGCAGGTCTCCGAGCGGGGGTCCTCGCTGTCGCTCATGTCCGCCCTGGCCGTGGGCATCTCCAGCAGCGAGTGGGCCAGGGTGCGTTGTGCTGCAACCATGCCCAACGAACGGTGGAAAGATGCCCGGCGCACGCCTCGCAGGGGCCTTTGCGCCCATGCGGACGCCAGCAGCCGAAGGAAGGCTGCGGTTTCCGCGCCGAACCACCCGTGGACCTCCACACCCGACACCACCAGTTTGAATTGCCGGGCTGCCGTCACCTCAGGGTAAACGTCCCGCCACTTTCTGCCTGCGCTATAGCGAGACCCGCCATCCGGTCAGGACGAAGGTGAGGGACACCGCCGCGGGTGAGCGGCGACTGTTGGGTTTTCCAGATTTTCCCCTCACCCGTGAAAGCACGATCCAACAAGGGAAAGCAGCTGACCACAGCTAGCTGACGGCAGACTGGACATTGAGAATTTGTTGCCGTCCAGAGACGCGGTCCCAGTGCAGAGCCACGTCCAGGCAACACCACACGCTCGAGGCTGGCTATGGAATGCAGCTGACAAATCCCATGCTACCTGCCCCGGCAGGCGGCGCAAAAAAACAAAAAAAAGAGGATTCGATGCAAAATGAGCACCTGGAATGTCGCCAAAGCGATGACGTCTTCAGGATAGAGCGGAAGCACTTTTGCAAACATCAACCGTGAAAGGGTCATGAGCCAAACCTTTCGGACCTGGGGCATGGTCGGCCAGCAAATTACTCAAGAAGTGTATGACATCCGGCTCAACAAACTCGACATCAATCCCCCTGAGGTCACGGACACTGTGTTGTGCAAGCGGCGGACATTTTTCTGAAATGATGCCGCCAAGCCTCAAAGCAAGCTGGGCGGTCAGCTTCGCAATGCGGGAACAGGAAACAAGACGAACGCACGGACAGTGGGCGACCAGAGATGCCGAGTTGCGCACGGATGTTATGGGCAACACGGCGCAGGTTGGCGACACTGCCGCGCTCATGTACATCAAGCCTCAACACCCACCTGGCTGAGGCTAGCTCTGGGTAGGTGTGGGGTTGCGCTTTCCGCGCCAGGCATTGGCGACAGCCCTGCACCCACGCGGATAATTGGACTCCTTACGATGGTGGCATCGAGCGCGAGTTGCGCGCGCCACACCACAAAGGCAACACGCTTGCCACATTTTGCCACCTCTTCGATGCGGTGAGCGTCGTGGATAGATATGTCGACTTTCATGTTGGGCAGCCACATGTTGTCGCACACACACGCACACACACACACACATGCCCCACTACTGTACCCAGCCTCCTGGCCCCCCCCCATACCCGTGCCAGGTCGATGTAACGACAGCCTTCACACCAAGGGCGCAGCTAGTGTGTGGCAACGTATCTCCAGCATGGCAGTGTGCTGTTGCGGCTTCCTCATGCTCTGACGGCACACGTTATGATGCCCAACTTGGTTAGGGCCAACAAGAAGTGCTTCGCAAAAACACGAGCGGACCACTTCCTTCCAGAGCTTCTCTCAAGACCCTGTGCGGTGTTTGGTCTTGTGGCGCTGTGGAAAAGTGGTCAAAAGCACTCGGGGGATTTTGTGAGCTCTGCAGCTCTGCAAGATAGCTGTTGTTGGTCGTGCTCTTCCATGGCAATCTCGTGGCAACTGGCCAGCAACCCACGCCTGCCAGGCTGCTTCCAACTCGCCCACAGCCCTTGGCCAGTGATCTGCAGATCACACTCAACATGAAAATGTGGACAGCTGAGCCCTTAGCATGTCGAGATCATGGCACTGCTTCCTAGCGAATCATGCATGGCGCGTTGTTCAGCCTACTCGATTTTCCAGGGATTGTACATGTGACAGTATTAAATTGTCTCACATGTATTGGCTCGCAGGTACCTCCATTCATGAAATCCTGAAACACCGCATCCGGCCATGTCTTACTTGCCCTTGTACTGCACCATGCCTGCGCTATGCTCGAGCCATAGAGCCACCTGCTCTGGACTTCTTGTTTCAAAGCACGCAGGCAACGTTTGCTGTCGTCACATGTCGACAAGGCCCAGGTGTCACGTTGAGGAAGACAATCCTCCTGGTTCTTTGTTGACTTTGTTTTTTTGGCCTCAGAGAAACGGCTTTGGGCCGATGATTCCTGAAGCTGCCAGGCACTGTCGACAGGCACAGAAACGTTACAAGCCTCGCAGGCATTTGCATGTTCAGCCCGGGTTGTTCTTGCTGTTGTTGTTGACGGCATCTGGCATTGGCAATGCAAGTTCATCCGATGCAAATCCCTCGGGAGGGCACAGCATGACGTGACATGTGATTTGTGAGTTGCAAGTTTGCAGTCTCTGGTGCCTTGTGTCAAGAACCACATGAGCTAGTGAAGACGATGGTCGCCCGGCCCAGCCCCGCACTTGGTAACCTCTTCACGGATTTGAAACTATGATACGCACATTTCTTCCAAACTGTGTGCTTTGATTGATGTATCCCCTTCCAAGTCACGATGCAAACCCACAGCTTGTCTCCAGAATCCAAAACGTACAGGCGGGGAATTTGTCTGACAGTCTTTGGAAAGCTAAGCAATTCTTGCTCAAAGGTCCCTTGCATCAGCCGCTTCTTTGCTGGCCAATTTAGGCAAGAGCCGAAGAGACCGGCCATTCTATGTACACGCTTCGACCCTCTTGGTCAGGGAAGCGATCTATCCAGCGGCAGCTGGCAGACAACTTGCTTGAGCCTCAGCCCAAACTCTCCAAGGCAATCTTTGGAGGCTGCAGCTTCGCATCCAAATCAATGGAAACACTGTCCGTCTTTGAGGGCCACACTTTTCCACTGAGGTCGCTGGCTTCATGAGACCTTGCTTTAGAAGAAGAGCATAAACAACCCTACAACAAGTGTTCTCATAGGCGCGGTAAGACTGAGCCCACTACTCCAAGTATCTGGTGATTCCAGCATTCAGGTCCAGACCTCTGCAAACAATCAGGCCTAACTTGCATCTGCACCTACTAGCAAGGAATGCACTCTTTGAACCTTCAGCTTCTACAGGCGCCAAGATTGAAAGCAACTGAAAACTATGCATGCAGGGACAGGCCTTGGAAGCCATCATGCTGAGGAAGCCTGCGGCATGGGCAGATTGCACACCGGAGCAGAATCGCGGCCGAGACTGCACAAATTGACGGCTCTGCGACCTGGCATCTCCCTCGGCATCGATGTCCAGCGGCTGGAGATCACCCGCCTTTATCAAATCAATCAAGCAGCTATTTGCTGCTTTGCTTGGCCGTGGGCATCATATGGTGCGCATCGTGAGTGGATATCCCGCCTTACTCCTGGGCTTAGTCAAGTCAAGGGCTCATTCCATGATTCTCCGCAGCCGACTGTGTGGCCCAATGACTGTGTGCGCCACGAGATCTTTGCACCGGTCATCGTGGAACTTGGGGCCTGTTACCAAGCTTTCACCCAAAATAATAGTTTCCATGTTCTTTTCCATCATCCCTAAAGAATATTATAGAATACCCTATCCGCCTACCTTGGGGGGCGTGTTGGATGGTTTCAGAAGATGCAGCCCAGAAACGGAGCGGGGGGGTTAGGGGGGGGTACCCAAGCTGCCTGTCCCTCCAGGCCCGACCTCACGACTGTTGCGATTTTTCCCGAATGCGTAGCAG